CTTATTTCCCCCCAAGGATTTTTTTTTTGGGGGGGGGGGGGGTAGTATGGGTCCGTCCGTAGTGGCCGGGCCGAATGGCGAGGCCAAGGCCACTGAATTCCCTACTCCACCATGGCCTTCTGAACTGTCTGCTCCGCCATGGTCTCCTGAACTGTCTGATTTGCCATGGCCTCCTGAGTCCCCTGCTCTGCCATGGCCTCCTAGTCTGCCTGCTCCGCCATGGTGCCCTGAACTGTCTGATCTGCCATGGCTTTTATTTTTGATATCTAAGTGCCTGTACTTTCACACACAAAAAAAGTATTTGTGTATTTTATTAGTTATATTTTCTGTACTTCAGATCTGGTACACTTAAAAAATTGAAGTTGTAAATAGATTTTTATAGTTGGTTTTACAAGAAAATACCTTTTTTTTCACGTTTATTTCTATGGCTCTTTTCACGATACACATTGTTGCAAAGCAATTTCACCAAAAATAAACATTTCTACATTACAGTTAGGTGTAGTTTATCAGTGGTGACTCTGTCAAGGTAACGTCCAATGAGATGCAGCCTTGGTCTGACGCAACAAACAAGTCATTTGTAATTTTAACAAGTGCAGTTTCTGTGCTATGATGGGGCCTGAAACCTGACTGAAATTCTTCACAGATATCTGGGCCCATATTCACAAAACATCTTAAGGCTAAAAGTAGCTCATAACTCGCCGATTTAAAGGGATAGGCGGTCCCGAGTAACCTTTTCAGGGTTTTTTCAAGGTGTTTCATTTAAAGGGATTTGTCAGTCCAAAATGTAGGACTCCTAAATATTTTCTCTAAGAGTATTTCACAAAGCGTTTTAGCACTAAAACTAGCTCCTAAATCTGTGAAACGTTAGCAGTAGTGAAGAGGACTCCTAAGTCACTAAGACCAAGCCACAAACTATCCTAAAATGGCTGTTGCCTCGGAACATAAACATTTGGTGATTATGATCTTTTATAAAGGTATCACCTTTGGTTTAGGTGGCTATCCCAACTCCAAATTTTCCTTTGATTATATCCTTGTTTTCATTAACCAGTTGGGCAAGAAGTAACAGTTCTTGCGTCCAGTTTTTTTTTTTTAAACCTTTATTTGAATATGGCAACATAATATTGCACTCTACAATATTTCTATGAATAAATCTCTGACAGAGACTATCAGCCAATCACTGTGTGTGTAGTTAGTAAGCATGCTGACATCATCCATAGCAATGAGGTCAAACCCGCCCTCTTACTCTGAGCTTAAAACTTCTCTCTATTCCTTAGTAAAAGTTTGTCTCGACAGCTTTGTGAATAGGTTTTAAGAGAAAACTCTTAGCTAAATCTTTTACTGCTATTTAGGAGAAATTTTAGTTGCAAGATAAAATGTTCTGTGAATACGGGCCCTGTTTTTTTCCAGGACTCCACAATTGAGCAGACACAACTTTTTAAGATTTGAGATGGATCTGTGATTTGCCAGTTCACTAGGATCTAGCTGTGGTTTCTTAATGAGAGGCTTTAATGACCGCCAGCTTGAAGGGTTTTATGACATGACCAAAGGGTTGTGGGAAATAACATAAGTCGAACACAAGTTGAACTAATATGACCATTTATAAGTAAAAATAGTGTCTACATCAAATTTAATTTTGTGTATACTGTTAGAAATGCTTTTTCAAAGTTGTGAATAAAGATTATTGGAGTAGGTTTTACAAGAAAATACCATTTCAGTCTTTCTACTTCATAATTTCATGTTTTAATTCAATGTTACTCATAATTTCTTTATAATTATTAGTAAAAAATGTATTAGTAATTTCTGAATGAAAATGTTCATCACCATACATGATTTGTAGTTGTAGTTAGTGTTGCAGTGTTATTGACTTCAATACAGTTGATTGAAATGAAGTAACTGCCAGTGGTAATTTATTCTTGAGTTTATTTCACATAAAGCCATCTGTCATAACCCAGCCTTCATGCAAAGCCTCTCATTACCTGATGACTTTGATGGATCTCCTTGATCTGAAGACCATTAGACAAAAGCAAAAGACATGGAAATCATCTCTGATCAGATTCACAGATGGATGAGCATGACAAGCCAAGTGAACTCATTTGCTTGATGTAAACCAGGGGTATTCAATTAAAGTTCCACAAGCTCCAGTCTCTATATTTCCTTTCTCAGATCCGGACACTTGTTTTTGTTCTGGGATAGTTATACATTTCCATCTATGCAGCAGTAGTACTTTGTGAAAGGGAAAAAAAGTCAAAATAGTCATCAAAGATGAGGATATTGGGCCCCGAGAGCCAAAGCAATGGAGTCTGAGAATTTTTCTACAAAAAATGTAAATGTTTCATCAGAGCCCAATTGGATATGAATATTAAAAGGTAAGATCAGATGTTTTATCAGGCTATTATTATTTTTACATTTAGATATGGCAGAAGGCCGTGTGATGGAAAAGATACAGTATTGAGGGTCTGAACCATTTTTATATTTTACTTAAAACAAATATTTACTAAAAAACAAAGTACATAATAATCAAAATGCTCTCATTATCAGCAAAATCTCAATTTTAAAGTTGTTTTTTTAATTTCAAAGTTTAAGTTGTCTGTCCTTGTCTTTCACAAATATTTTTTATAATTATAACATTGATTATTATGCAATTCTCTTAACATGCAGATTAATAATATTAAATGTCGATGAAAACTGATGATATGAAAGTATCAATCTGTTTTTCGTATTCCTCCTACTGTTGTTATAATAACCACGTCATCTGCAGCTTTTAATGTCACGTTATAAGCATCTTTAGCAGGAGAGAGAAGTAATACGCATTGAGCTGAAAGAGTGAGTATAATATAACACCGAAAAATCATTACCATGAAGCTCTGTTGTTTTGGCATGCTGTTGACTTTAAACTGTAGAAACTGTAAAAGCCGTTGTCATTATGTTTCACAGTTCAGTTGCAACTAAGCTTTATGTGAACACCAAAATGGGACATTGCTAATTAGCATTTCTGTAGATATATTGTGTAAAACAATAGGCTGTTATGTGTTGTGGACTGCACATGGAACAGCCTTGAAGGAGACATATTATGCCCCTTTTTACAATATGTAATATAAGTCTGATGTCCCCAGAATGTGTCTGTGAAGTTTTAGCTCAAAATACTCCACAGATAATTTATTATATCATTTTGAAAATGCCTATTTTGAGTGGAAGCAGAAACCCGCTGTTCTTCGGGCCTGTCTCTTTAAATGCAAATGAGCTGCTGCTCCCCGCCCCCTTTTCCAGAATAGAGCTGCGCAATTAAAGCTCGTACCTGCTAATAAACTTCTGATGGTACGGAAAACTTCTGAAAACGGTTTTCTGAGCGCACACATCAGAAGCATACGCACAGAAAGCGGCTGTCACAGCATGTGAGCACTAAACTAAGTTCTCATTCACACACAAGTTTACATTAAAAACACACGAGTTACAAAAACAGTGGGTTATGTCTGTGAAGGTAAACAGCTGGGAAATAAATCGCATGTTTATTTTAGATCTGTGTGGCAGCAGCAATATACAGTAAATAAATCAATAAATGCACTGCTCTGTCGTCTCCTCTGAGGCTGGGACTCTAAACAGTGTTCTGTGCTCGTCTGAGCAGCCAAACACAGAACAATTAGCATGCTTTGCTCAAACTTTCGCTTGCAGAAAAAGGCTTACCAAAACAAAGTTACTGGGTTAATCTTTTTCACATTTCCTTGGTTGGTAGATGCACCGGGGACCTGATTATAGCTCTTAAAACCTGGAAAAGTCAGATTTTCATGATATGTCACCTTTAAATCAATTTTACACTGCAGGAAATAGTAAAAAACTCCACTCCACTCAGGGCTATGGTGTCATTTCTGTCTTAAACATACAGTTGCACTGAAGTACATTTAAGTAAATCCTCAGAACAAGACCTTGCATAAAGTAATATTGTTGTAGATAGACACTGTGGGGCAAATCTGAAAATGTAAGGTAAAGTGTGAACTGAATTAAATGAATGCAGTCAGTGTTTGTGCATGGCACACTCATTTCAAAACTCAGGCAAGTCTGGATCCAAATGCTGATTTAATGATTTTACTATACATTTACATTTAGGGATTTAGCAGATGCTTTTATCCAAAGCGACTTACAAACGAGGACAATGGAAGCAATCAAACCAACAAAAGGGCAATAATATGTAAGAGCTGTGACTATACAAAAAAATGTCACATTTATTCCCAATGTGTAATAATCAATTATGCATAATCAATTCTGCTTATTTCTGTACATGCTGTTGTCTTACCCCTTGCTGATCAAATGTATTCTCTATTTTACAAGAGTATATACTTGCTGAAATCATAGCTGATTCCCAGACGTTTCTGGCTGTGAAGTGTGGAAGGGAGGAATTATTTGATTAAAAATACAGTAAAATTTTTAAATTTTATCGGCCGCACCGATGTCATCAAATGACGTCATGCACATGCAGAGGAAATTCGGCATGACACTAGAATTTGAGGATGCCTGATGTAAACCGTGCAGATGAATCACTATTAACCATACAAGCGAGACGCAATAAAAATCATGTTAATCGGTTACTAAAACACCTCAGTGTTTCCTAAATATAATGCATAAAATATGATTGTGTGATAAAAATCACGCTGTATATTTCAAAGTCATTATTTCTGTATTATTTTACATGATAGTATTTCAAAATAATTAGATACTAAACTACTTAAAGGAGGCCAAGACTAGATTATTATTTATTTATCTTTTTCTAAATTCTGAATTCTACATTTATAAAGTAAAAGCAATGCATGTACAGTATGAGCACTAAATAGGGAAATCATGAGAAAGTAATATTTGGTTCCTGTGTTTTTATCCAACGTGATCTTATTTATATTCATAAATATTTGAACAGTATCTAAAGCATTGAATCATTAACGATATCAATGAAACTGTATTACATTTTGATGGTGTTAAACATAAAATCTTATTTATTATAAATTCCTGTAGCTTTCATAAATTCATAATTCATAAATGACTGGACAAGATATGGTACGTATCCGAGTCTAGCATTTGGATGTTACTCATGCGTCTCTTGTGTTTTCTTGTGTTTCCTGCTGCTGGAAGATTGTCCCGTCATGTTGAACAATCCATTTTATGCTGGATGTGATTTCCACGTCCAGATCCGAGAACATCTGCTTCATCTAGAGACAAGATTACATCAGTGATTAGTGAACGAGATCAATCTACCGCCGTTTAGACATCAGTTAACTAAAACTAAACTATTAAGAAAAAATTTTGTTAATTGGAATACAATAATAATAATAACATACATACTCACACACACACACTCTCTCACTCGCACACACACACACACCCGCTCTCTCTCTCTCACACACACACACTCTCTCACTCGCACACACACACACACCCGCTCTCTCTCTCTCACACACACACACTCTCTCACTCGCACACACACACACACCCGCTCTCTCTCTCTCACACACACACACTCTCTCACTCGCACACACACACACACCCGCTCTCTCTCTCTCACACACACACACTCTCTCACTCGCACACACACACACACCCGCTCTCTCTCTCTCACACACACACACTCTCTCACTCGCACACACACACACACCCGCTCTCTCTCTCTCACACACACACACTCTCTCACTCGCACACACACACACACCCGCTCTCTCTCTCTCACACACACACTCACACACACACAGTCAAACACACACACAGACACAGACACAGACTCACACACACACACACAGACACAGATTCACACACACACACACACTCTCTCACTCACTCACTCACTCACACACACACACACACACACACACACACACACAGACACAGACTCACACACACACACACACACACACACACTCTCTCACTCACACACACACACACACACGCTCTCTCTCACTCACACACACACACACACGTGTAGACATACTTAGATATGTGGGGGCGTGTTAGAGCGAGCCGTTTTAGGAGGGCGTGGTTGACTCTTAAATTTTATAAAGAATATCTCTTTGGATTTGAGACTTTAGTCTTTGCAACTTTACAGATCTTCTTTATGCGCCAAGTGCTTGTAACACTCCAAACAGAAAGGAAAAATTGAAATCGCATCAAATGACCCCTTTAAAATAACATACAGCATCATCTCACCTTCTTCTCTATGGCCTCCATCACTGTGGATTCGTCCAGAGATCCGTCTGATTTCACTGCGAATCTCACACGCTGTATCTTCGTGTTCTCACGGCAGTAGAAAGGCAGTCGAGTCGAGCAGGTGTCGTCAGCCATCTGTCCATCAGTATCAGCACTCACACAATCTTCAGTGCTGTTCATGTTATCGGGCTGCCCGGAATCCCATTGCACAGACGACGATACGCTGGTCTGATCCGACCACTGCCACAGCCCCAGGTTCTTGGACAGGCCGATCCAGCCCTCATTGTCGTACTGTCTTATAATCACATTTGCGAGGTATGTGTTCTCAGTGTCGTCTGTAACGGTGGCCAGGTCTACGTAGCTTGATCTGCAGTATCTTTGAGCACCATGCCAGTTCATGTTCCATTCAAAATACCTAAACTTGTACTGAAGTATGTTGTAGTCTGTAAGGAGTAGATTTGTGGTCAGGACAGAGAAACATGCTTGAACATTTGAAGTGCCACACAAAATTAACTGTAAGAGTGTATAAGTTTGATCATATAAAATATGAACAAACTCATCTTCACAAAATGGCTTAGAAAAGTTTTTTTTTTGTGCAGTGTTTAGTTATTTAATGTTTTCCATTTATGTTGGATAAAATGTTTATATTTTCTGTTTTCACTTTCATTTTAGGTAAAGTTTAGTAATTTTGATATGTCTTTATTAAATGCCTATATAGTGTTTATAATAATAGCCCTGTTGTGAGTGGTCTGATTTAATAAATCTCTCGAGTATCAGAGAAGCATCTTTTGCTTCTGCGTTTCACTTCTGCTTGAGCGTCATTATTTATTTATTTATTTATTTTCAGTTATTCATCAATGGAAAATTGCCATTTTCTCTCATTTTTTTCAGTTTTGCTTTTGTTAAATTGTGACCTGTATTATAGAAAATCGTCTAGATTGTATTTATTCAAATGACCATTTCTGAAGTTAAAATTTAAAATTTAAAAAATGAAAGAAATTGGCAATTATTCTTTGATGATGAAACTGGAAAAATTGCAAACTTTGGTTTCATTTTTTTAATTTTTGCAAACTAATGCCGTTTTGCTTCTCAGATAAATGTATCTTACTTTAAGGATTTTTTCCATTGGAAGACAAGATTTAAGAATGTGTTTAAAATGAAATAAACTAAAGAAATAGAAATAGAAGTAAAGTTTGACGAGACCAGGTGGCGTTTCTCCTCATGGTTTCGGAGGAGCTGACGTGTAAGCCAGAGCACGCTCAAAAAGCTAAAGAAGCATGACTAGGAGTGAAAAGCTAAAAGCCGCATGGCTAAAAGCTAGACACAAAAAGTCAGACCCCAAAAAGGCAAAAGGCAAAAGGCAAAAGGCAAAAGACCAAAGACTTAAACTACTTCAGTCTGTGTGCATTGAATTTATTTAATACACGAGTTTCACAATTTGAGTTGAATTACTGAAATAAATGAACTTTTCCATGACATTCTAATTTATTGAGATGAACCTGTATATAATATATATGCATGCCAGTGGAGTGAGAAACAATCTTTTCTCTTTTTTTCTTACTCCATTCTGATTATTTTTTTAAAGTCATTTTGCTTCTCAAATAAATGTATCTTCATTTGAGAATGTTTAGATATTTGTACTGGAAAATAAGATAAAATACAGAGTAAGTTAGTGTTTTTTTGCACTGTGTATAAGGTTTTATTTTATAAAGCTCAATTGAAGAAAACGATGAGCGTTAAACCCTTCAAGAAAATTCCCAGACATCTAGATTATAACTGAACAAAAGTGCTGTATAATTTCTTACCAGTTTGGCAAAAGAAGTATTTTAGTTCAGTACAGGATGTGTCACTCCATTGTCCGTTTCTATTTACAAACGCACAGGCCTCGTTTGTGTTGGGCAAGTGCGGCTCCTGGAAACCCCACTTCTCATAGCTGATCTCCGTGTTTTGATGCGACCAACGCCAAGGGTCTTTGTAGAAGCCGATCCAGGCGACAGATGTGAAGCTCACAGCATCTGCTGCCTCCTTTAGTTTGGCTCTGTCTTCATCGCTCTGAACCGTCACCAGATCCGTGTATTTCTCCCTGCAGTACGATTGCGCTTTTGCCCAGGTCTTTGGTTCTTTGATTAGGACAAATCGATACTGGTCACATGAAGCCTTCGACAGGATTCCTGCTGCAGGGAAATCAACAGTGTTACGTTTCTCTAAACCTCTAATCTGACGTCAGTTTCTTTCACTGACACTCACCGAGCAAAACAACGAGTTGAATCTTGTTCTGCATCATCTCGTCTTCACAGGTTTGTTCACTGAAAGAAATCAATCACAAGAATACGACATGTTGCTTAGTTCTGTGCTATTGAAAGTCCAGTCATTTTCAGACATCGCTCAAACATTTAAAATAGTTTAATGACTAAATGCATCCATTTTAGCATCATTGTTCCACACTGGAGAACATGATCATGAGGTTTTATTCATGTCATTTTCAGTTTTTGCTATTCTGAAATTTTCAACACTTTCAGGTGTTGTTCATAAATTTCATATTCTGACAACTTAAAGCTTATTTGATATGATAATTCACCAGTTTCAGCAGCAAAAGCATTTTTTGTTTAATTGGTCAAGTACAAAAAAATTATATGACAATTTTAAATCAATAAGTCATGGCAACATGTTTTTCCCATTTCTTTAATGTATCATATAAATAACAACATAACATAAAAAAAACTAATTAATTCAACCAATTTCAGCTTCATTTTTGAAGTTATACAAGACTCAACTATTTTTTAAGTCAGTTTAATATAATTTAAGTTGAACTGACTTATACAGCTAATGTTATTATATTTAGGTTTTTTCATGGAGTTCTGATTTTTTTTTTTTAATTCAACAAATTATATGACAATTTTAAATCAATAAGTCATGGCAACATGTTTTACCCATTTCTTTAATGTATCATATAAATAACAACATAACATAAAAAAAACTAATTAATTCAACCAATTTCAGCTTCATTTTTGAAGTTATACAAGACTCAACTATTTTTTAACTCAGTTTAATATAATTTAAGTTGAACTGACTTATACAGCTAATGTTATTATATTTAGGTTTTTTCATGGAGTTCTGATTTTTTTTTTTTAATTCAAGTCTTATATTGATAATATAACAAAACAGTATTAAATTGTAAAAATGCGAATTACAAATGCAAAAAAATATATATATAAATAGTGCTCTAAGACCTTCAGATTAAAGTAAATCATAATAAATAAATAAATTTACCTGCTCTGGACCGACTGCAGGTTGATCTTTTCACCGGGTTATTAAGTTTCTTCTCTTATACTCCCTTTACTTGTCTTTTACTATCTACCCAACTCTTTATACATTGCATTATGCAAAGCCTTTTGCTTAGTACTGTACGTAAGATGCTGAGACTGATTTACATTGTGATTTTGCTGCAATATGAGGCTCTTTATTCAAATAGCGTCAGAGAGCATGAAAATGGTTCCTAGAAGTGTTTTTTCAGGACTATAAAACAAATGAATGTATTTATTAACCTGTGTGTTAATAAAGTGTCCTGCACATGTACAGGTAATTATACAAAATAAGACAAAATACATGAAAAAACACAATGTAAGGAATGTAGAAAAGTTTGTTTCTTCATCAGATTTGGAAAAATGTAGCATTGCATCACTGTCTCAGCAATGGATGCTCTGCAGTGAATGGGTGCCGTCAAAATGAGAGTCCAAACAGCTGATAAAAACATCACAATAATCCACAAGTAATCCATAATTTTTGGGTGAACTATGACTTTAACATTACAGTCAACTCAAACTGTGACTATAATTATCAGTCATATAATCTACAATAAACCAGATTGTACAGATGGACAATTTGACTTGTCAGAGCTGCAGCTAAAGGGAGTCAGAGAGGCAGACTGTGCACCTGGACCAACTAGCACCTCACACAAAGTGAATAAGAACTGCACTAAACTGCTGCTATGTCTGTGAAAGATTCTGTGAATCTTCTGGAGAAGGGGAAAAGTCAGAGAACAAATTTACATTTACATTTATTCATTTAGCAGATGCTTTTATCCAAAGTGACTTACAATTGAGGAATACAACACACGGTTCATCATAAAGAGGCAAATAAACACAGGAAGGCTCATAATACAAAGTTTCAGACAAATTCTGCCTTATGACAACCACCCATCAGGGCATTTATGGATGACCATAGTCAACATAGACCCCACAGTCAACACAGAATCAATCCCAGGATGCCGGTGGATTCTTCGGGGGATAGAGGGCCCAGATGCCTTTCAAACCAGCCAAATCAAGATCAGTGGTGCTAAAAAATAAAAAGGTTTCGCAAAAACAGGGATCCTCAAATCTGGCTCACGAGATCCACTTTCCTGCAGAGATTAGCTCTAACCCTAATCAAACACACCTGAGCATGCTAAATAAATGTCTTCAGGATCATTAGAAAATCACAGGTAGGTGAGTTTGATCAGGGTAGGCGCTAAACTCTGCAGGAAAGTGGATCTCGTGGGCCAAATTTGAGGAGTTTTCCTTTGTCCTAGTAGACTTTATAACCTGGAGACCACCACAGTGGAGCCGACAGAGCTAGAGACTAGGATGAAGTCGGCGGAGCAAGAGCAGTGCTGGAGACAGGGGCAGACTGGGGCTAAAAAGTGGCCCTGGACTCTTAGGCACAGAGCGGCCCACCACACCATAAACCACTGGTCTCAAACTCAATTCCTGGAGGGCCACAGCTCTGCACAGTTTTGCTCCACCATCCCTAATCAAACACACCTGATCCAGCTAATCAAGCTCTTCAGGATCACAAGCAGGTGTGATTTGGAGCTAAACTCTGCAGAGCTGTGGCCCTCCAGGAATTGACTTTGAGACCACTGCCATAAACCCACCATCTTATTAGAGCTATTTTTAACACCACTTACTAACATACAAATATTACACAATACAGAAATAAAAATGCTTTTTAAAATGATTATTATCATTAACATTAATGAATGACTGTCATACGTCTTTACATTTTAATGTGTCTTTCCTGGTGTATATGGCAATTTGTAAATAATATTTTACACATCTATTTTACATAGAGGGACATATTTCTGTGATCAAAGCTGCATTTTCAGCATAATTACTCCAGTCTTCAGTGTCACATGATCCTTCAGAGATCATTTCTGAGAGAAGCATTTCTGATTATTATAAAATGTTAAAAACAGTTGTGCTGCTTCATATTTTGTGGAAAATGTGATACAACACCATTCAGTCTGGAGTAAGATTTTTTAAAAATCCATATTTTACTTGACAAGATTGCATTAAATTGATTTAATTGACAGTAAAGATATACTTATTACAAATTATTTATATATAAAAATGCTGTTCTTTAACTTTGTATTCAACAAATAATCCTCAAAAAGTTAAAGTGTCACAGTTTCCACAAAAATATTAAGAACCAAAAACAGTTTTAAGTATTGATAATAATAAGAACCATTATTGACCATTGATTGCACAGACAATATTGGAAGCGAGCTGAACTGAGCTGGACGATGACATTACTGTTTTCTCCAGAGCTGCTTTATAGATTAATTAAACTCATTCTGTAATTGATAGACTTTACACAGTTATTGAACCAAACTGAATCAACAATGAACTGATTTCAGCTGAACAGTGAACGTTTACTATTATCTTTTAGAGCTGATTTACAGCAGAATTTAATTCTGTTCGCGTCACTGAATCACTATTTTCTTGTTTGTCAGCGTAAAGCTGCTTTGAAACAATCTGCTTTAATTGGGAGAGTACCACGATGCATGCGTGTGCTTCTGCTGACGTAGAACACGCATGTGCTGCGCCTTGTTTACGAGTAGAGGAATGCACACGCATGCATTGTGGTATTCTTAATAATGGTGGCAGATGGTGACGCGGGGAAGAAAAATTGTTGAATAAACCCATTTTTGGTTTCTTTGAGCACAAAAAGTAGCTTCTAAAATTACGGTTGAATACTGATGTCACATGGACTTTTTTACTACGTTTCTGGGCCTGGGAACATTTCAGTTCCATTGCACAAGCTCTCGGATTTCATCAAAAATATCGTAATTTGGGTTCTGAAGATGGATGAAGATCTTACGGTTTGGAACCACATGAGGGTGAGTAATGAATGACATAATTTTCATTTTTGGGTGAACTGTCCCTTTAACAAGTTTACCACTGGAAACCAGTTAAGTAGGATATTGCAGATTGTTGTAGATGATAATAGAGGATATGGGTAATACAGAGCACACACACACACAAACACATAAGGGACATGTTGAGATGATGGAAGACTGGTGTACAACTTGAGGTACTTGCTACCGATGTTACGCCTGACACGAGGCTTCGAAGCTTGTGAGAACGTCAGGTACTCCCAGCCGGAGCTCCGTATCGAACCTTGTATTGTTTTAGTGAAGTGAGAGGCTCGTTTGATTGCAGTGATTCACTTCTGGTGGAATTGATATTGTTTTTAAGCTTCCACTTAAAAACTACACTGTCCAGTCCACATTAATCGCTATTACCCTCTTTTATCCATTCTCATTTCCCTCTGTTCAGCAAAAGCACTGCCCAGTTACAACGCGATATGAAACATGAATCAACACTGAGCTTAAGAACTTCAAAGAACTTGTTTGTTTGTTTAATATGGGTTTGTTTGTGTGTGTGTGTGTGTGTGTGTGTGTGTGAGAGGCTCGTTTGATTGCAGTGATTCACTTCTGGTGGAATTGATATTGTTTTTAAGCTTCCACTTAAAAACTACACTGTCCAGTCCACATTAATCGCTATTACCCTCTTTTATCCATTCTCATTTCCCTCTGTTCAGCAAAAGCACTGCCCAGTTACAACGCGATATGAAACATGAATCAACACTGAGCTTAAGAACTTCAAAGAACTTGTTTGTTTGTTTAATATGGGTTTGTTTGTGTGTGTGTGTGTGTGTGTGTGTGTGTGTGTGTTAATGTATCAAGCCTTTTTGAACCATGAAGCGCACATTTTGGTGCTGTCACACTCTTGACAGTGTTTTCCTGCACTGTATTTGGATCGACCAGCAGGTGTCCCTAGCGTGCTTTCGAAGCCTCGAGAAATGAACCACATCTGGCTGGAAAGCCTCACATCTTCATGAAGCTTCATCTCGCCACCACTGTAACTTGCAGGATTGTTGCTGACTGAAAATCAACTTGGAAGAGGCTAGTAGAACAGCAACCGTGGCACACAGGTCTATAAGGCAGGTAAGTAGCATGTAGCT